AGAAACGAATAGACTAACTTAAAGCTTAGGCTACTCTTAATGAACACAAAAGGCGTGTCCACTTTAATAAACTGCAGCAGAACTAACTCGCAGTCGGCACAGGGAAATTTCGCATTATTTGCCAAAAAAAAAAAAAAGTTTGGTTATCACACTAAAACGTTGTAATATACAAATGGTGATATGTTCAAAAAAGCCTACTCAAAACAGACAGGGCAAGCTAACACAGACAAGTGAGCTTACCACTTTTAGATATGTCATGTTTGTCGCCGAGCTGCGGAAAACTGTTGCTTGCTAACTTTGCATTCAGCCTTTTTCCCCGTTTATCAACTGACTATTAACACTCTCACAATTAAATAAATAATATTCAGCATCAAGCCTTCAATAGCCTACTTATCGTTCCCCTGGGGTGGTTAATCCAAAGAAGGGGGTTGTTCTGAAGAAACAAGGTTACTCTGAAAATGCCCCCATTAACGGTTTGTGCTTTCCACCTGATGAAATGAGCACGTCTCAGCGCGGCAAAACTGATGAAATGAACAAGGCGAAAAATCAACCAATCAGAATTTTCGGCAAAACACAACGTATCGACCAATTAATAGACTGGGACAGTACTAAACTAAACCCATAAAATAGTGTGTGTTTCAAACAGGTGTTAGCGTATTTTTGGGGTAGGGGTGTGTCATTGCAGCTGGTCTGTTCCTAGAGAGTATACTTTAAAATAGACTTTTAGTTGGTTATCTCAAGCAGGAATACCCAAACTTTTGTCAGCTGAACCCATTTGACCTAAACGTTTCTTTGAAGTACCCCGAAAGAATTTAAGCTAACATTTCAATTTAACAGGGTCACATATTCTCAGTTCTTTGATGGTTAAAGGGATAGTTAACATAAAAATGAAAGAGTGGTCATCATTTATTCACACTCATGTCTTTCCAAATCCGTAAGACTTTCGTTCATCTTCGAAACAAATTAAGACATTAAGGAAATCTGACCGTTTTTTTCCCCTCATTGACAGTTCACGCAACTACAAATTTGATGTTTCAAAAAGTTCATACAGAGGTTGTAAAGCTAATCCTAATGAATTGAGTGGTTGTCTAAATTTTTGGAAGAGACTCGATCGGTTTATATGGTGCATAGATTCAGTTTATTCTCATAAAAATTGATCAGTGAACATAAACAGAAGCTTAACAGTATGAGAAAAAAACGAGAATTAAGCATGCTTGAGCTTCCGTTTACCATAACATATGTGTGCATTGAAGAACATGTATATGCGAATTAAAGCCTAAATTCAATCTGTTCATCACAAAGCAATTTGAAGCCTCAAAGTGGTAGTTGTGTAGCTGTCAATGGATTGAAAAATCTCTCAGATTTCATAATTTCTTTATCTGTGCTTCGAAGATGAACACAAGTCTTGCGAGTTGGGAATGACATGAGGGCAAGTGATGTCAGAATTTATTTTTGGGTGAACTATCAATTTTTTTATTTATTTAAATATTTAATTAACTCTCAAACCCCAGTTTGTAAAACTTGTAAATGCAAAATTGGATAGATTTTTTTTTTCTTCGCTTTACCTCACTCTCTACTAAGTTTGAGCTAATGTATATCTGAATACTTTTAATTCTGTTAATTATTAGAATTAATATCTTGTTTAAAATGGTGAATGTTTGACCATTTTTCTCCCATTTTTTTTCAGCTGGTGATGGAAAGGCACCTGTAGCTGCTGGAGAGGAAGATGATGATGAAGTTCCAGGTCAGTATATTGCTCTGAAACTCCCCTCCCTAATTCGCCTTTAACCACATCTTAAGTTGCAACGTGCATTAACCATAAGATTTTTTTGTATATTTTTTTTGATTATTCCTTGTGTATTTTAAATGCCTCCTAGCTTGAGCTTCACAATCATTACCATATGGGTTTCTGTGCATGTGGTAATGTAAGCATAGCACGCTTGCTTACGTTAGGGCAGCATAGTTGCTTGTGTTGTTGACATGTCCAAAAAAGGAGGGTTTCAGCAGGTTGTCTAGGCTGTTACATTGTCAACATATACAAGTGTTTAAAATGTCCTCTATTGTTTATGAGCACTGAAAGCTCGGTTTGCTTTTCTTTTTAAAGAGAGGGGGGCAAACGCATACGGTTGCCATTACAATTCTCCAGTTCTCCTTCCTGAGCAAACTCCAGTTAGTAACTCAAGTCTTGCACATGTACAGTATGATTACAACTCCGACACTGCAAAATTAGCTCACCCGTGCGATGACAAAAAGGGTTAACAGCTTGTGCCATTGTGCCCATTACTGAGATTCAACCTTTTATGTCCCCTCTGAAAACAATCAAAGCCTTCTGTTAGTGATTCCCTCTCTGATGCCCCGGAGCAGAAAAGTTGATATTCCATTTATCAGATTTCATCTCCTAAAAGGCAACCTGCTTTGATCCTCTGCGGTTTCATTTTTACAGCTGTGGACTTTTCAGTCTCCCAGTGCTCGTTTATGTTCTCTGTGGAAATCACTTGCACACGTGGGCTCACTCAAGTGAAAGAATAGCACAGAAATTGCTCTTTCAGATCGTGTCTATAAACACTCGGACAGCATTTCATCAAGATTAGATTTTAGGTTACGTTTACATGACAACGGTGTACTAAAAATAGAAAAGTTTTTCCTTTGCATTTTTACATTAAAAAAAGTTTAAAATGGCCGTATAATGCATTCCAGGCCAGTTGTTGGTGAGCTGTCTGTCCCTTCATAGTTGTGTGGTCAAAAAGTACCGACGTTGGTACTGAAATTTAAAAATATGACTCTTTGAGTGGAATCATAAAGATCTTTTATTGTGCTCATGCGCTTATCAAATATGTCTGTGATTGGCTATAATGATCAGCGCTTCAAAAACATGTTGTAAATATATGCACTTGCAGATACATACGGGAGCATTGAAAATAATTTATTTTTGGGTGAACTAACCCTTTGTATGTCTTTGGAACCCTTTTGAGTTGCCTACATGTAGACATTATATTGTTTTACTGAATCCACATTTTCTCTCTTTGCAGATCTTGTGGAGAATTTCGATGAGGCTTCAAAGAATGAGGCAAATTAACATGATGGGAAGGAAAGGCGTTTGAGATCTCTGGTCTCAGCGGAGACTTGTGGGACTTTTTTCCCCTATTCTTTTATAAGTGTATTGCATCCCTGAATCTACTATATCTTTTCCGTGCACTGCTGTGGCCCTCATGTGTCCATGCTGAGAGTGTGAGATTGATTGAACCACTCAAGTTCATGCACAGTTTTACTGGTATGTGTGTTTGCTTGTGCGGTCCAAGAGGCATCTTTGCCTCCACCTTCCCTGTTACTGAGGCTCACTCATTTGGAGCTTTTCTGAATCAACATCTGGAAATAAACATTTGCTATTGACAAAAATATTATTAAACACTGTTGTTATGCTTAATTGGGGATTAACTAACAATAATGATACTTTAGGGATTAGTAAACTCATGTTAGAAATGCAGTGCACTTCTTAAAGCAGCACTATGTAACTTTCAACCTTTATAATATTTTTCCAAAACCTTGGGAATTGTACATCGATTTACAATTGGTTGAATGACAGGTCTACCATAGCCTGACAGTGTCTATATCGCTTTTACTACATCACTTCCTCAAATTCCGACACTAGAGCCCAACAAGCGTTTTTTTTTTTTTTTTTTAACCTCTGTATGTTGTCATGGCTGAAGCAGCAAGTTAAATGAAGAAGGTTTTGTTGGAGGACTGTAGAAAGAGAAAAAGGGAGAGTAGCAAATAAAAGGCTGGATGAGGATCAATATTGGTCCAGTGTTAGGCCGTGTTTTCTCCAAAGCGTTTTTTCCATGCGCCTGGCATGTTTTCAATGGGAGCGCTGCGTTTTTAAACGTCATGAGCATAGCTGAGCTTTTATTTGAAGCTGAAGCGCCAAGCGGCATTTTTTACTGTTCGCCTAGAGTTGAAATGTTCAACTTTGGATAAAACGCTCATCACTGTCACTTTTTAACCCGCCGTCCAATCACAGTGGAGGAGGGGTGGGACTAATACCACACTGACCAACTGTCAGAACATTCTTTCAGTACATCTACATCAACCAACAGAGCTAAACGAGCTAACTGATGCACCGGACTTAATCTTCCCCCGCCTACCAAATGTGAAGTGCGTCAGAAACAGAGTGCGCGCACGCAATCAGTTTACTGTTAGCAATGTGTTGTGTAGCTTTGCCCCTCGCCGCATCCAGTGTATATTGCATTGCTTTCTTTTGAGGGCGCTTAACACACTCAAGCATCCCCATAGAGCCAGGGCGGGCAGCTCGCGCCAGCTTGAGGCGTGAAAGTATACTGACTACTTAGTTTGGTAGGGGCTACATTCTTTCAAGTAAATAATACATGATTAGATGGACAAAATAATCGGTCAGGGTAACTATCCTTTGTCTGCAGGCTGATAGTCATGTTTGTTACTTAGTTTTCTAGTGAAAGTGACTTGCCTCAGGTTATAATGCAAATTGATTCAAAATTTGCAGATTCATCTATGGTAGCTTGATATTATAATATTGACTATATGGCTATTATCTGCAACACAAACATTGAAATGAATTAGCATATCCATTAATGTAAAACAGTAGCCAATAGGTTAACGTTACTGTAAAGACGCTGGCGTGTAAACGTGAGCTACGTGATCTTTTGACGTTTTAAAAAAAAAAATAAAGCCCATGAAACTAATATTCATATGACATGCTAAAATAAATACCTGGGATGAAGACGTTTCGCATGCAACGCTGGCAGCCTGCCCAAGATGTGAGAACTCTTTCCTTTCGCAGAGTTTGGGAGTATCGCTTGTCAACAAATGCACGTGTGTATAACTTAGTGTAACCATGACAGATTTTATTACAGTAGTAGAAGACAATACTGTTTCCCTACTGTGGGGGGGACCCCGAGAACAAAATTTCAAAAGTAACATAATGCTGCTTTAAACAATAGTTTTTCAGACGTCAATCAAATACATCCTTTAGTACAAGTAAACGTTTATTTACAGTTGTAGAACACAATTTGTCATAAAAAGAGGGTAATCCAAAGAGTAAACCTGAACACAATCTTTCTGGGTGCAACAGCAAAAAAATGAGTTGAATTAGTACTAGGACAAACATCACTGAAAACTGTTGCTGTAAATCTGTTTTGCACCATGTTCCTTTGCACTCCATTGATTCTAAAGTACTGATTTAGACTCTTTATTTTATGAACCATTCTTAATACCAGTCAAGTTTAATGTGAAACTGCTTTGTTTTGCATTAAATGCAAAATTTAAATGGCTTTTCAAGTACACATTGCAAATTGGCAAATATTATTGACCTAAACCACATCACATTGACTAACAACACACATACACATATATACACTGTATAATATATTAAATTCAAAACTCAAATTCTGTTGTCAGCAATCATGTGTCTATGGGTCAGTACATTTGTTTGTTCACTCAATGGTGGATTCAAAAATGACAATTCACTTCATCAGTTGGCACACTCAAATATTCACTCCAATTTGTCATGTACATGCCATGGTTATTCTTTGATACCTTGCAGAAGCTTCAGAAGATGAGCCTCCAAGACCTGTTGGACTGGGAAACATGAAGAATTACATGCATGTTGAGACAGTAAGACCAACACAAATCAGGTACAAAGAAGGTTAATGATCTCAGCTTCATCAAATATTCATATTTTAAGAAAGTATTATTTAACACTGATGGGAATCTTGTTAGTGTTACCATTTCTATGGCCCATCGCCACAGCCATGTCCATAGCGTTGAACCCAGAGTCCGACTCCATGGTTGGGTCAGCTCCACTCTCTGGTCAGTGATCAGAAGTCATGATATTCATTACACAACAGTGAACCAAACCTCTGAAAAAAATTAAAGACTGGAATGCATCCGAGTGAAATGAACTGAATTCAAAGTAAGACTTTTACCTAAGAGGATTTCCACACAGCGAACATGATTACCATGCACTGCGTAGAGTAACGGAGCACCACCATTCTGAAAATGCACAAGCACTGCTTTAAGTGCTAATCATTTTTTGCTGAAACATTGATTCTGACTTCTGAACAAACCCGTCAAATCCATTTAACAACGAGCATGTTTAGCAAAGTATTTTATTACTAATGTCTAAAGAAATCAACAATGTGACCACTTACCCAATCATACTCGTTGACGTCAACTCCACAGTCGATAAGCATTCTGACAATATCTGTGTACCCTTTACTGCAGGCCAATGACAGTGCACTCTCTCTCCCTTTGGCCAAAAGATGAGGATCTGCACCCTGAAAGCAAAGGATTCGGAGTATATAAAGATTCAGCCATTAAATTTCTCAGGTGGCTCCGACCTGCTGAGGCTTTTAGCTAAAAAAGGGTGAAAGTTTAAAGAATAACAAAGCTACCAGAAAAGTTACCCCCACAAACAAAGATGGCAGCATGCACCGGACGAACGTCTGCCACGGACATGAATAGGAATGCTAACTGATTGCTTTGTGCAGGTATATTTGGACTATTTGATCTCAGTGGTCAGTTAAAGATAACTTCAGAACTGATGTAGTGAAAGTGTACAGTATTTTGCACTCACACTCTGTAACAGGAACTCCACCACAGCAATCTGTCCATGAGCTGCAGCCCACATCAGTGGGGTGAATCCTTCCTCATCCTGCAGGTTTATCACAGACTCTAATTTAAAGAGCCAAAGGAAGGTAAGTGTCAGCTCCTCATTTATCACAATTTTTAGACATAATTTACCAAGGAGATAATAATTGATTATTATTTGAAAAGTTTGGGGTAAATTTATTTATATTAATTCATTAATACATTTATTCAGTGGACACATTGAATTAAATAAAAGTGACCATAAAGACATTTGTAATGTTGCAAAGGCTGTTCATCAAAATAATGCTGGAAATAAACACCACAATTTCTACAAAAATATTAAGCAGCTCAATGTTTTTCAACATTAATAATGTGCAATGTTCTTATTATTATAAGGGTCATGTGACAATGAAGACTAGAGTAATGGTGCTGAAAATCCAGCTTTGCCATCATCATTAACATTACATGTTAAAATATTTATATAAAAAAGAAAGAATTATTTTAAATGTAATCATATTTCACATTATTACTGCTTTATTTTTGATCAAATAAACGCAGCCTTGGTGAGCATAATAAACTTTCAAAAGCATTTACAAACTTTTGAACAGTATTTAAGACTAAACTGTACTTTTGCTTCACATCGATTTTACAAACTTGCCTTGTTCTATTCGACTTGCAAGGAACACCATCTCTCCTTGAGCCGCCAATTGATGTATAGACAGTGCTAGGAAAGAGGGGAAAAAAGGTGAACGTGAAGGTATAGTCATGGTTTTAGTTTTAAAGAGTAGATCTGGGGTGTCCAATCCTAGTCCTGGAAGCCCAACACCCTGCAGAGTTTAGCTCCATCTCGTCCCAATATATCTGCCTGGAATGTTTTAGTAATCCTGAAGAACTTGATTGCCTCAGTTCAGGGGTGTTTATTGGGGTCGGAGCTAATCTCTGCGGCACAGTGGCATTCCTGAACCAGGATTGGATAACACTGGAGTAGATTGACAAATATCAGTGGATAGTTTTGGCAAATGAAATGAGAGACTTACAGTGAACAAGCAACGGTGTGGATGAGACCTCGTTTCCACGGTGTTTGTTGGTGAGTGTGGTGGACTGTTTAATGGGAGAGAAGTGTTTGGTGGTTGATGGCGTGTACACATGCCTAACCTGAATACCAGGTGAGGGAGATGTTTGGATATTACACTCCGCTGTTGAGAGAGAAACAGAAACAAGACATCTTAAAGACTTCCCAGACAATGATATTCACCAAAAGGGTGGTCATTTTCCTCCATTAATTTGTTTTACCTCCATTCATTTGATTTACCTTTAAATAACACAGAGGCCACCTCCAGATCAGAGTTCACCTGGTCCTGGATGTTTTTACTGTCTTCCTCATTCAGCGACTTTACGAAGCGTGAGCATACGTTCATGTCAAAGCGATTAGGTAATATAAATTTTATCCCCATGGAGTTCTGTGAGTTGGCATCCTCCACTGAGCCAATGCTGACTGATGGCTCGACCTTTATGCCAGTCACCTCTGGTAATGGGCACAAACCTTCCATCTCCTCCGATGCCATTGTCCACACAGGACCTGTTATATTCCACAGAAGCTACAAGTGATCTTGAGCTTGTTCCATAAATAGAATCAAACCTTTGTGGTTGGCGGATAACGTCTGCCTCCCATACAGAATAAAGCTTTTGTACCTGGAATATTTAGATAGAGATATTTACATTAATAGAAATATATGAACGATCAACTGTAAGTCGTATGGATATATTATAGCAGCTAAATGTAACATCAAAGGCTACCGTGTTGGGGACATGTTTTGATTTTGTCCCACAGTTTGAGTGATAAAAGCAATACTCTAAACTCACAACTGATTAATCATAAAGGTTATTATGATGGTATTTTAATAACAGATTTCATTGTGGAATTTTACTCATGCACGTTTGATCCTGGACAACCTAACTTACATGCCCGACAAATAAGCGTGCTAAATGTCAGTGTAAACAAAACAAGGTTAGCCAACCAGCTAACTTTAACTACCTTTACATATTATACTCTGTAAACCAGTGAAGAGGAAGTTAAACCTTTACTGTATAAATATCTCTTAATTTCAGAGTGTGCATTTTATCAGTTAAAATACAGACGGAATACGAGAGCGCACACCGAACACGTTAGTTCATTGTGCAGCATAGCTTCTAATGCAGGATTAACGGGCTAAGGCTACTGTCGTATTATTTCAGCATTAAAAACATCGACTGTACATGTTTATGGAACATTTTATCGAAAAATTTAACCTTAATTTATATTACATAATGCAATCATAAATACCTACCGAGTTATTAATATCGTGTGTTTTGAAAGGACGGGTTGTTCTTGACGTTGCTTGTGAATAAAGTTTTTTCAAAGAACGGGAGGGTGGAGTCAGGCTGAATCCGAACTCGCCCCCTAAACCCTAGTGTTCACTTGAAGCCTGTACACTTGTGAGTCCACTAGTCCACTATGGTCTCGGACACATAGCTGTCCCCTTCAAATAACGCCCTATTTGAGGGTATAAGGAGGCGATTTTGGATTCAGCCAGTGTCATTACATGCGTGAAGAGAAGAGACAACTCAACGCCTGCGATATGTTATGGCGCCGTTTATAAACAATATTTATATTTAATAGAAACAATATGAATGTAAGCCAGAGGAGAACTGGCCCCCGACTGAGCCTGGGTTCTCCCAAGGTTTTTTCTCCATCCAATCTGATGAGTTTTGGTTCCTTGCCACTGTCGCCTTGCTATTGGCTTGTTTTTGGCTTGCTCAGTTGGGGTTATTTAGCGTTTAGCAATGTTGTTGCTAATCTGTGTTGTACTACTTTCATGTTATCACTGTGAAGCTCCTTTGATACAATAAGTATTGTGAAAAGCGCTATATAAATAAATGTGACTTGACATGCATTGTAATCGCATTGCCTCCTTCCTCAACTATAGATTCACAACATTTCACAAAATAAATATTTGAATTGTTTTATTTTTAATTTCTCCCCCTACTAGTTGACATCTTGGCCTAATACTGCGATCTGACTACCTAATAATGGTATACCTAATACCTATCAGTTTTTTTTATTTTATTTTATTTTTTTTATTAGACCATTTTTTATTTTTTATCAAAATTGTCCTACTTCCAAAACATAAAGCTTATTCACTGTTATGACTAGAATAGGTTCTATAATTTACTTATTTTCTGTTTATAAAAATCTTTTATTTATTTGTTTGTTTGAATTACATGAGTGCTAACTTAAATAATGTTTTTCTTTGGAATCAAGCAAAGCTTTTGTATGACATCTTCGGTGATGTTTTTGAGTATGTGTCCACGTGAGCTCTTGTCATTTGTTTATTACAAACTATTTGTGTAATTTTGGAATTAGTGGTCACTGGATATGTAATCCTCTATCAAAGTCATTTTCAGAACCGAGTGGAGCAATGCCTAAATATTTATGTAAAATCTGGTCCAAACAACTGAGTGAAAAGGAAACAAAGTAGACTAAAGTCTGGCCCATGCAAACCACTGAATACCCATAATAACATTTCCATTCTCTTCTGGGGTACTGTTGAAATGTACAGGCATCTGTATTTCTCACTGTAGTGTAAGAGATGACTGCTTGGTGGAAGTTGTGATTGGAAAACGTTTATTTTTTGTGAGATGCACGTTTTTTTTTTTCAGAAAAGCTTTTGCAGTGTTTTTATTTATTCAGATCATTATTTCTTTAGAGTCCTGCATCAAGAAAACGAATTTCCTCCGTTGTTTTATCCTCACTATCCAGTGTTTTTGAAGTTTTTCATGATTTCCTATTCCGCTATTGACTGACTCTGCAATTGTGCATTTACAAGGCTGTAATTTTTTCATCTGGTTGCACGATGCTAAACAGATTAGATGGGATATACTCAATATAACCTTAGCAGCCCCATTCACTTTTGTGTTCTCACTTGCTCTGTTTGTACAGATAGACCCCTCAATGGTTAACCCTAAATCTTTAGCCATGCACAGCAACTGAAGCTTTTAAATCTAAAATTACTGTTCTTCGTCAAAGTACGTTGTAAAAAGTAAATGCATTTTTTTATTGAATAAAACGCTCTTTTAATGTTTCTGTGCATAATTGGAGAATTGAATTGTAAACCATGGCACACAACTTTGGGTCACAATTGAGAGAGCAGCGCCCCTCTTTGGTAGTGTATATACCCAGATCCTATACCATTAAAAGTAACCGATTGTTTTATATATATATATATATATATATATTGTAATGGACTTTCTTGATCTCTGTGCCGAGAGCTTTTCTGGAATCACTGATCTAAGTGATCTTAACTCAGCAGCTTGTGGTTCTTGCTTGACTTTGACCCCTCGTGTTTCATGGCTTTAACTCTGTTTGTTTTGAGTTGACTATGAGACTAATTCACACACATGCCTCCAAAGCTCCAAAGTGGAGATTTCCTAACTCCTTGATTAGGGACTTTTCGGGATGAGGCAGCATTTTAAAGCTCTTGTTTAGGACTTAGCCGGCCTATGCTCCACTAATCTGGCACTAATTCTGGTGCCAGATTAGTGGAGGCCAACTATAAAGTCCTACTTCAGTCAAAACTAAGTTTCATCCCAGTTCTCATAATTTTAATGTTACAAATGATAATCATGGGCCCTTTTCAGTGACTGAACACACTCTTGCTTACTTCGTTGTTTTACCACCTTGAAAAAGACGAGGACAAGTCCAGAGAATATGCACTTGCCCCATGAAAATGCCAAGGCATTATATACTTTCTATAACAGCTTGAAAAAAAAAGCATTCCAGAGCATAATTATACTTATTTGACCTGTTTCTGTAATTACCAAGAACAAAATAATAATGCTGATTGAGCCAATGGATTACACATTCTTTGGTATTAATGACTTTGGACAAATACGAAAGGGTGAAGTTGCATTGTTTGAGTTACAGTACTTAACAGAATAATCAAAACTCTGTTTTGTGTGCTAGGTAGAATTAGAAGTGATTTGAAGAAATGGATTAATCCAAGTTAAAAAACAAAACAAAAAGCCTTTTATAATCTGTTCCAACACAAACACACATAATGCAATATTTCTTGTAAACCTTTCCTGAACTTTTGAGGAGATTAATAGCTAAAAGGTTTGGCTATTGACAAAATAAATGGAGGGTGGTTTAAAAATATGCAAAGACTTTGCAGGTGAGTTGCTTAGGATAGACCATTTAATGTCATGACCAGGAACAAAAAGCATACTATAAATGTAAGCTACTTAATTATGAATATCTTGGCTGTGACATAGCCAGCTTTTGATGTTTGGTGTCTTGCCTTTATTTTTTCATCTTGTCATCTTTTGTTTCAATGTATAAATCATTAAATATCAACATATGGAAAAGGCTTTACGACAAAAATTTAATCTTGACAGTAAAACCATACACTGCATGTGAACAAATTTTGATTTTTTTTTTTTCTGTGTCGCAAAAAAATTCAATTTGGTTTTATATCTTATCTAGCAGAGTTTTTACTTTAATGGTGGCACACACACAAAAAAATCTTTTGTCTGTTCATAAAAAACAATCATAATTATGGTGTCAAAGCTTAAATTATGACGGGTCAAAAGTATGAGATCAAATTCATTGTGAAATGGTTAAAGCCGGAATAGCTCCCTATGGAAACGCAAGGTGCATGTAAGTCATAAATGATCAGAAGTATTGCACAGAAATATTGGTATTTATTTACATTGTTTTAGTTGTTGTCTTTACATTTGGAACAACAAAATGGCATCATATACTAAAATGACTGTATAAATTAATCAAATAATAATATAAAAAATAATGGTAGCAAATGTTTAATAACGTTTAAAGCAAAAGTGATTTCGTCAAATGACATTTCATGTGTCATCATAATAGAAAATGATCTCATCATTGATCCAGGCATTTCTTCTGTTTGCAATTCTCCAGTGACTTCAGATGGAGTTCGGTAGTTGAAAAGTTTCAAGGATGTTTGGTGAAGTGTAGCTTTGTAAATGTGCTCCCTGCTGTGCCAATGGAGAGCTCAGGTCAGAGAGCCAGAGATCGTTACGTTACCTGACTGGGCCGCCGGGAGTGCAGTTTTGGTTGCATGGAATGAGAGGGATCTTGTGTTCCCAGACATGCTGTTTTTCTTTGATGGACGCTTGGGTCAAACAAAGAAAACTTTCAGACACACATATAGTAAACAACACCCAAAATATACAGCATATACATATAAAAATAAAACCGCAATTTTAATCATTATCTGATAAAATGTTATTTAACCAACCTTTCGAAGAATTGATCTCTGTTTTGTACCATTGCAATACTCTGACAACTAAAGTCACATGATAAATCAATGCTCATCACAAATAGTCCTCCATTAGAAAGTCAATACTTATAATGAAGCTGCACAGTTTCATTCACACAACCATTAAACACAATTATGCTAACACACATGAAATAAAAAAAAATGCAACAAACATTAATTTAACAACATTAATGTAATATAAAACCCTATGTAGACATACTGATTAGAAAGAAAACAAAAACGGTGAAAAATAAATATGTTAAGTATATTAAATCTTAGCATACTTGAGCATACTTAAAGCCAGACTAATCATCAATATACTTCAAGTTTGTTAATGATTATTTAACTTGAAGCATGCTATTTTGGAACAACTAATTTTGTACTTAATATATTTTAGTTGTAATTTAATTGTAGAAAAGCACAATTTGAAGTGTACTTAGTGTACTTTTACGGCTAAAGTGGAGCCACTTAAGGTATACTTTGTATACTTGAAGTATATGGCTGTATGTACTAATATACGTACATGCTTGATTAATAAGCATTAGTGTGCCATATCTGTGTTAGAAGTACATTTAAAATGCACTTTGATAGTACAAATGAAGAGTTCAGATGCAAAAGCCTCTAAATGCCATTTGAAATTTTCTTCTTTAATGATAATTTTTATCAAACTTGTATATTTAAGTTCAGTATTTTCACTTAAATAACAATTAATAGGTAATTATCATTGCCATTTAAGTGAAATTACTGAACTTAAATATACAACTTTGATAAAAATCATCATTAAAAAAGAAAATTTCAAATGGCATTTAGAGGCTTTTGCATCTGAACTCTTCAAATATACAAGCATGGTAGTGCTCAGTTCTACTTTGGGTTTATTCAAATTAGTAAGAAAGTACACTTTTTAGCTACTTATCAATATCTTTTGGTTATTTCAACAAAAAATACATAAATTGTGAAGTGTCACACAGGGAATTGTGGGAATGTCAATTTACGGGTTTTCACTGTAAATTATACAATGATTTGTTCTTTTTCACTTTCAAAAACTGTAAATTTAACGGTATTTTACAGTAAAATTATATCACAGTTATTTACCGTATTTAGAA